AACATTCCAGTCTTCACCATTCTCTTTACCCAAATGGGCGTATGAAAATGCATGGTTAATAGTTGTGAAAACTGAACCTGGTGATGACAGAGACACTTATTTTGATCACTTGTTGACGTCGAACCGGTTATCTTGAAAACCTAAGGTAAATCACATAATCACAAGGTAGATCACACATATTTAATGTTCTATTTCTCGATTTGATTTGATTTCTCGATTCGTCACTCCAAGCCAAAAAGCTATCGGGGTAGATTAAGCGAGTAATATACGAATAACCATGCGGCGATTTTGTCAGCATCGGAGTCTTCCATTCACTCACATACGGGAGCTAAACTAACGTCTGTACATAAAAAAACGAAGTGTTTTTCCACACCAATTGATTAGTAATTGCATGCACTTGTGGTTGACTGCGTCTGACGCGGATACGAATCTTTTTGTTTTGCTTTCACGTTGACAAACTATAATTGTCACCTCCGTCCGCATTCTTGAATATTGATCTCGATGGTTGCTGCAAGCGACCATGCGAATCTATCGCATTGGAAAACGTGTCAAACAGTGCCGTCTTTCTGCCATAATTTTGATTTCTCCTACCTCTTTCGTTCCGATTTTCTGCTCACAATCTGTTTCCATCTACCGTATACACCAAACACTGTGACTCGTAAATTGGAGATAACTATCGGCTAACTTCATTACCAGTCAGCAAAAATTTGTGAATACGTGCTTCTTGGCTCAAATTGGGTGCAGAACTAATCCTTGCCGTTGACTTCTTACTCTAGCATGGGAAAACGAAACGTATAGATAACACTGAGGAGAAAATGACAAACAACAAACACTCCCTCGTCGTACTGTATTTTTAGGTATTCCTTTCTCTTTGTACGTTGTTGTTGACAGTCTGTCTGTTTCAGACCGAAAACTCATGTCTTGATTATACTAGCTACCGCTTTGTACATTTTCTGCCGTGTGGCCAATATACGAGCATCGGTTGACAAATTTGAAATCGCATTGTGGCTCCGCTAATCACATAAACAACTCTGTCCGATGTTATCATTTATCTCGTTTATTATCGTCGACCGTAACGTGCTTTTCATTCTCAGCGAACCCGTATACAACGCGCCAAGGGCGAGCTGCGTCGCAATATCCGCACACACGTGAAAGTAGTATTCGACGAAGAAGGTCGAGTGAGTTTCTTGTTGTCTGTTTTTTTATGTCCCAAATAGTTGCATCGATATGACTGTTTTTGGTGTGATGAAATCCGTTCTATACGTACGGTCTCAGATCGTACCTTGTCCCACCCACCCACACGGTGCTTGTTGCAATTTGCCATGTTTTGTGCTCTTCGAGTTAAGCCAAAAAATGCTTTCTGTACCCAAAGGGCGAATTTTCAGCAATTTACGAACTTTTACGCTGGATGTATAAAACAAATTACGGTCAACAAAAAACGCAATATAGCAACTTGTATACTGTACTCAATGAAAGAAAAATTAACATAAGAGTATCCCCTGAAGTGCGTGATAATTGTCTTACGATTAACCAATAACCGAGCAGAGTACGGAATTACACTGTTTCAATACATATAAAAGTACGCACAGGAAAGAGTTGATATTCGGAGCGAGTTCAGGAATTCGACACGGCTTTCACGATATCTCGGTACAGACAGTGCTCTAGGTCAGGTGTATCACAAGATCACAAGAATTAAGATGCTTGAAAATAAAGAAGAGAACTCCACTGCAGGGGGAAAAGTTTAGGAGATTTAGAAAATACAATTAAATTCTCTTTCTCTCAGGCCAGGAATAAATATCTGGGATCGTATAGACAGTGTGAATGGATGTAGGTATTCATAAATTTCAGAATTGGATTATGTGGGACGGCCAGTTTCCTAACCCTGTATGCATAAAACGATAGTTTTAAAACTTTTGTAAAAACGCTGATGACATGAGCAGACGAAGACAGATTATGGCTGAGGATGACACCAAGGTATTTAACAAAAATAGATTTTGGGAAGCTTTGATTATTAACCATGATATCGGGGAGATATAAAGTAAACTGGATCCTATGGGAGAAGTAGTCGATGAACGCATTCAAAACTCCGGGTGTTAGACCACACCCAGAAAGACGTTTGATAAGGATTCTTTGGTCGAGAGAATCGAAGACGTCTGCCTAATCAAGAAACGTTACATGCGCGGTACCTGTACGTTTGTCTAAGACGGATGAAGTAGAGTGAACAATATGGGCAACGGCGTCTGATGTGGACAGATGGGGTTCATAGGTAGATTATAAAGGATCATGGGAGTTAAAAAGGGATATCATGCGGTGCAGCGAAACATTTTCAAAAGCTTTCAGCAACACGGATATGCGGGCGATTCGATTGTACCTTGATGATCCTTTCTTTGGGATTGATCTGATCCGAGCTGACCTCCAATGACCCGCGGTCGTTCCGGATGACAAACACGTATTGAAAAATTTAGCAATAGGTGTTGCAAGTCAATCGGTGCATGCTTTTAACAAATAAGGTGCTAATCAATCGGGACCATGAGCTTTATTGGCATGGAGTCCCCTCAACACTTGGAGAACCTCGTCAGGAGTGCTACGTACCCATTCGTCTATCAGTTCCCATTGATCGTTCAATCACGTGACACAGCTTATCATGACAGCCACTGACTAATACTCATCCAATCCGTTTTTGTCCATGCGCCAGCTTGACCTAGTTGTCGGTCATCGTTTAATCGATTGATGTACTCTCACGATCATTCATTAAATCGTTAACCAGATTCCGGGCCGCACGCCGTCTGTGTTCTGATTTTCTGTGTTGGGTTACGGGCCCTAAATTACGGTGCATAGCGTGGCGGTTGGAATTCGGTCTTAACAAGGAGGAACAGGGTTTATTGCCTCATGGGTGGGAGGAAGCTTGAGGCAAGCACAGAAGCGAATTGATGGTTAAGTACGTTGGGATAATAATTGCCGCATGAGCCACAGGGTCGTCCACATCTCACGATAGATTTCATTATCTAAAACAGTCTCAGCGTACATTCTGTTCAGGCGTCTTCAGCTGTAATCAGCACAAAGAATTCCTTTACGTCTGTAAGTCTTCTCCTTAGCACGATACAGAATTCACAATTGTTAAATGGCAGCCATTTGCCTTCCACCTAAAGACATAAGAGCTTCACGCTTCATATTTACACCTGTTTTTTACCGGAACAGAGCAACATACGAACAACTTGGTAGTTGCGCGCTGATGTCTAAACACATAACTTCCTCTGTGCCTATCCTCGACAGGCATACTTTCTCCCACGAAGCTATATGATCGCTAAATATAATCCATCTGCACGCTGTCCTGTAGTGGCATTACCACGCGTCAACGCCTTCATAGAACTGTCATTCTATTACTATCTAGATTATTTTTTTGGTAGATTTGAAGTTCTTATATCTCATATGACAAGGTGCGCTAATCCCTCAAATACCAGCTCATCAAGAGTCGGAGGAATGGCCGCGAAAATTGGTGCATAGGAAAGTGTAAAGAGATGGGGAAGGCTTGGGCTATTGGTAATCTTTTCCGTCTAATTAGGAATACGGGCCCAAGGAAAATAGGCGTAAGTGAGATAATTAGGGAATCCGATGGCACACTGATTCATGATCAGCAACGCTGTCTTGATCGTTGGGCTGAACATATCAAGGCTCAGTTCAACTGGCCCCATCGGCATATGGACTATCACCGTCTACCCCGACTGGGCAAATGCTCCCAGTTGATACCAGCCCTACATGTAAAATGGAGGTTTCCCGGGAAATAAGCCATCTAAAAAGGCATAAAGCCTCCGGTCCAGATGGGCTGTCCCCATCGGCTTTTATGTATGGAGGCTCAGCCTTAGTCTCGGAGTTGACAAAACTCTTGGGCTCGGTGTGGGAGAAAGAACAGGTTCCAGCTGAATAGGGTGAATCGGCCATCATACCGAGTTGCAAGAAAGGTGACAGATCCTCTTGTGAAAACCACCGAGGAATTAGTTTAATCGACATCCTCTCTAAACTTCTCTCTGGGATCATACCCCGTCGATTGTCTGTCGCACGTGAATGGTGCACGCGTGTGAACCAGGCTGGTTTTAGGCCTGGGTGAGGTTATATCGACCACATCTTCACTCTTCGC